GGTCCCACCCCCCAAATCCCTAACATGCCCTTACATCTTTCAAAGGGTCCCAAAGAGTGCCCCCGTTTCAAGAAGAGCTTAAACCGCAAACCATACATCTATGTTTGTTTGTATGTATATATGCACATATCAAAGGCATATGCATGTGTATTTATGTATCTCTACATCTAAACTCCTAGTAGACCCCTAAACAACCCTATAGTAGACCCTTAAACAATCCTCAGCAGTTAGACCCTAAACCCTAAACCCCCCATATAACCCCTTATACCCTAAATCCTGAGCCCTAAATATCCTAAACCCTAAACCCTAAACCCTAAATGCAAATATATACATCTAATTCATCTTTTCAAGTCCTTTCAGGCTGCAGCCGTGGCCTGCAACCGTGGCTCCATGGTGGGCCGCTGGAGAGCCTCCGTGGCGCACGGCTGGTGCCCCTGGGGTCATGGGGGAGTTTAGAATGGGTTGGAACCCGAAGGGTCTAGGGGTTTAGGGTTTAGGGTTTAGGGCAAACATGGGGTCTATGGGCCCTAATTTAGGGGGGTTTATTAGGTGTAAGTACCCTTAGGGTCTAGGATATATAGAGGGGAGGTGGCGGGTCTGGGTCTATTACATTACTACCATTACTATGAGTGCGCCTCGCGCCTAGAGTGGGGGCGGCCGTCCGGTTTGTTCTTGAGGGTTGCATTGGCTTTCAGGGTTTGGTTTCTTTGGTGTTTAGGGTCAAGAGCTTTGGTCGTACGCCGGCATCTAGTCTGAGCAACGACCAGGTGGTATGCGGCGCAGGCTGTCATTCTTTGGGGTCACGACCGTGCTGGCTGTGCGGAGCAAATATTTCAATCTTTCTGGTTGATAGGGGCACTTTTTAACGAGCCCCGAAACCCAACCCCCCCAGCAGAGACTATTGGGGCTCACATCAAGACTATTTAGGGTTTAGGTGCTAGGTGGGGGTCCCGCTGAGGTTTGAGGAGCGCAACCTTCCCTTTCTTTCCATCCCAGACCCTTCGACAAGCGTGACTTGCGCGAGCTCCTCAGAGCAATGCCTGGATCATCACCGGGGGCATCCCAAAATCCCTGCATAATCCTCGAATATCCCAAGGGTCCAAAACAATACTCTTGTTCTTTCTCAATACATCCCCGATATGCACACTATTGCACACTTATTTGAAGAAAGATGTGTATGCACTTATGTCTATAGCAGAAGTATGAGGCATCCCAATGAGTGTGGGTTCAGGTTTTCTGGGGTCAGAGGAGTTGGGGAGCTCAGGGTTTTACATAGGAAGCAGTTTCTCCAATGGAACGTAATGGTGTATGTGTCGCTGGATTTCCACTTGCATTAGGGTCCTTATACAAAGGTTCTTCATGTAATGCGGATGACAGTAAAGACCATACCATCCTGAGTGCAATCCCTACATCCTGAACTCCAGGCACCTTCACAACCTTTTGAATGGCCCACCCAAGACATACGCAGGTCGGTAGTGAACGCTAACATCGACCAGCTGAAGTTGACATTGTAGCTGGGCTTGGGTTTGAGGTTTTAGGTTGGGGCTTGGGGCTTGGGTTCAGGATGGAGGGTACCTTAAACCCTAAGCTGCCGGGGTTTGGGGTTTGGGGCTGCATCTTCAGCGGTCTTTGGGCATTAAACAGGCAACTGCGAAGTTGTGATCTACGTATTGGGCTGTGTCTTGATGTACCGCGCCCAGGAGCATTCTTGTCATGCATTTCCCCTAGGCCATATAACCCAAACCGTGGCAGGTGCAAGGCATACTGTTTAGCGGACATGCTCATGGAGAACCAATTGGGCTTATCCAGTTTGAGTGCGGTGTGGTGGGTTGCAGGTGTTTGGGAGGGGTTCCGGAAGTTAGGGTCCCGTCTGACAATTCGGAGAATAGCGTGATTTTACATCCGTGTCTATGCATGCCCCGCATCTTGTAGACATTCTTGTGTATATAAGAGTTTCTCAGGGGACTGTTTGTGTATGGGTCTTGCACCTAGATCAAACCCAAGCCAGTCGTCTCGTTTGACACCAAATGAGATTTTCCCAAAAATTAGGGGTACCTTTTTGGGGGTCCCCAGAATAGGGACTATAGTATTTTGGGGTCTATATTGGGGTCCCCCTATTTTGGGAAACTACCAAATGTCTAGTCTATGAGTTTACCGCCGCAGTTGCACTCCTGCATCGGGCCCTTTGATGTTCCCGATTTTAAGAACACTGAGGCAAAAAGAACGTTTCTTGGGCTCCCAAGCGTACACGAACCCTTCAAACAGAAATAATCTCCCCAAGCTGACATGCAAACCAACATAGGCTGCTGATAAGGACAACAGTTCTTGAGGGGCGGCTTATGCACTTCCATGTTGATTTGGGGCCGGGCAAAAGCCTAGCTGCACCTAGCCCTACATCCTAAACCCTGATCCCTCAACCCTAAATCCTAAACCCTAAACCGAAGCCTCCTAAGTGTTTTGCCAAGGCAGGGGCTTCAGGACCGGTGGGATGTGCATGGTCAAGGTGTCTGGGCCGTGGAGGCCATGGGTTTGGAGTTCAGGGTTTGGTGTTTAGGGTCTGGGGTGCAGGGTTTGGGGGTCAGGGTTCAGGGTTCAGGGTTTGGGGTTTAAAGCTTAAGTGTTTTTTGTTTTGGATTCGGGTTTGGGATGTGCGTCTTGCTGTTATGGGGACCCCCAAAAAGTACTTGGAAGTTTCGGAAATCCGAACCCTAAACCCTATATACCCCTATATACCCTGAACAAGTTCCTGGAAGGGGATGGTTTGTCTGCTGAATCTGATTGCTGCAGTCCTTCCTTCGAACGCTGGACATCTGAGCCCCCTCAGAGCATTCAGCCACGAAAAGTCTGCAGGAAATCTTACGCACCCTTTCGGGTTCAACGTTTCAGGTTTTCCTAGACCCTGCAATAGATTGTTTTGAGGTCCTCATGAACCTCCCAGCCAACAAGCCAGCACATTTAACAGAAATGGGAAATGCATCGGGATTTCAAGGAAGTTTGCTTACAATCTAGATTTCTTTCTACGGAGAAGCGTAAGAGGGTTTCGAATACGAGCTTGAATACGAGTCAAGATTGAATTTTCAGGCAGCTTCCTGTACAGAACATGCTCTTACCAGCTTCTTTCAGCACTAGAAGGTCATGTCGCGCAGGCACCCAGCGTCCTGAACCGGAAATTTAACTCTTGCCCCTGCGACTCAAAAATTAGAATGCGTGGCTTCCGGAAACAACAAACCTGACCCAAAGCTAGGTGCAGGAAAGCCAAGTTGTAATTAGATAATGTCCTAGAATCTCAAATAACAAAAGTTATTGGTATCATATATTTTGTTTCGTTCATTGTAAGCACACATCTATATTCAGACACATCATGAGTGTTGAGTATATAATTGGAAAAAGAGGCCCAAACCTCCAAATCTTGCCCGCCACAAGCGTGATGCGCAAACAAAATTCAGCCAGCACTTCTGGACACGCCGAAACCTGCTTAATCCCGAAACCCTGACTTACTGGGAGTTAGCTGGGAATAAGGGGAGTATATTTTATAATGATTCTATAAGGATTATATTCGCTTATCCCGTATCCCCTGGTAGCAGCCAGTAAGCTGCAGCACCACAAGGAAGCTTCTGAACCCCACACCAACCCAATACTTTAAGCCGCTAGCACCCGCAAGAAGGCATTCCTATCAAGCTGCTGGTGCCGGCGCATCTTGCTGCTCTTCCCTGCCCTTCACCCGCGGCTTGGATTTGAACGTCTTGGTGGGTCCCGTGCTTGGGTTTAGGGTTGAGGGTTTAGCGGCTGAGTTCTAGAGGTTAGGTCTAGGGATCAGCCTAAACGCTAGTCCCGAAACCCTAAAGCCCCAAACATGGACCCTGAAGAAAGATCAATCTGTCAAGCTTCGGGGTTGGGCTTAGCAAATACTGCGCTGCGGTTAGAGAACTTGAGCCAAGGTGTTATCATAGGTATCCTAGGGCAACCTTATTGATCTACCCACTATCCACATCATGGTCCGCAAATCCCTTTATAACTCCGGTTTGATTTCATTTTCGGGTTTCTTTTCCACATTTTGCCACATATTACGGTAATTTCCAAGCCCCTCAGGAGAAATCCAACGAATCCTTGGGTTTAGGGTGGAGCCCCGGCACGCGATCCTAAACAGCTCCCTGCATGCACAGCTTTCTAGCTCTGTAACGTTGAACCTGCCCTTCCTGGTTGTTAAAGGGGACAAAGGGGGATATCAGGAGGATGTAGGGGGGACAAAGGGGAAATATGTGGCGAATGGAAGCGAAGCAGGCCATGGAACATCTGGAGGTGAATTCGGATGTATAGAGTTTAGGGTTGATACTTCTTGCTTGTTAGTAGGGAATGAAATAACAGAACAGAATTGACACTAGAGTGCTATTGCGAGTTATCTGGGGTGTTTACGGATCAGTTCCCCCATTCCCTACTAACAGCCGGTAGGCAAACCAACACGGAACCACCACCGCCACATGCGTGAACACCGAGGATCAAGACTCGAAGCAGCATGGGGCCGTATACTCTTCTTCAAATGCTGGAAACGTTGTTTACTGATAAGGGAACCCCAGCGCCAATACCGCCCAATCTGCGGCCGTATTGGAATAGCAGTCTTGGCATGAGCTCTCATGAACACATGCTGTAAAGGACTGTGATGCTCGTCGCAGGATGCCCATTGGGGTTACATATTGAGTAGACGCAAGGTATTGTGGCCAGGATTCTGAGTCTGTTGAGGGTTGTTGCTCGAGTCTAGTTTCCTTGGTACAAGTGCCACAGGAGAACACCGGGCCGGCTTGCAAACGGCCCCAAATTTTCCTAACCCCTAGTTCAAGGATCCCAGAACAGAGGCCGATGATCAGTTGTGAGAAGCGCCAAAGATTTTACATCAATCATAACGATCCTGGCTTTCAATGCAAACGTCTGACGGAATGAGCTGTGGTTGCTCAAGCTCTTTGAGCTCGCGCTCCAGCCAGCCAGCGCTTTGCGCAATGACCAGCATGGATTCCAGGATCTACCTGCGAGCAGGCGATGGTACGAAAGGTCGCCCAATTGGGCTTCAGTATTTGTTTGTTTGCGAATGTCCGATGTTGGCATTCGAGCTTCAAGCCATGTTTGATCAACGACCCCTCCTTTATCCACTAAGCTTTCATGAGTCGGACTCACCTTCACCTAGCTCTTCTACGCGTTGTTGCTTTGGAATGCCTTCGCACTAGCCTCCAACACACTTCTTCTATCCTTTAGGTCCCTTGCGAGATGTGGTGGCAAGGGAAAAGCTGGAAGGGTACATCAAAACCTATGGTGATTTCGCGGACCTTTGGATGCCATGGAAGGCAACGGCTTCCCAAGCGTGTGGAATTCCATTCAGGATAGGTTTCAAGGTTTGGGGCGTAAGGTTTTGGGTAGGTGCTCAACAGGATCCCCCTCTTTACCGGATCCTCAAGAAGGCACCCATGACACTGCGAAACTCACATCATGTTTGTGATATTCATACAGCCGCGCTGAAAGGTCATGACCATCACCAGTAGCTTATAGACGTTTAGTTGGAGGTTCAGGGCACATATAATCCGGTTTCATTACCTTTTATATATGAGGTAGTTATACACCCCCTCATTTCCCTAACATGGTCATAAGTGCGTGAAAAGTACATATTATTATCAGTATTCTCATTATTACTATTGTGTTTTCCTTACCCTGCAGCTCCAAGTAGCGCAATTGAAGCACCGAAGCATGGCAGCTCCTTTCGCAAGCTTTTTGCCGGGGTGTTTCCGAGTTGTCAGCGGAATTCCCGGAAATCTTCTAGACTTTAAATTCAACTCCAGTACCCAGAGTAACCGACGTACCCGCTGTTATCTATCTAGTATTGTGCTATCTTGATCTTCTCTCAGGGAGACTAGGTTACTCTAGACATATCATGACGAATTGCATTGTCTCATCTCCAAGACTCCAGCAACAAGAACCTTTCATCTTGGACCCTGCTGGGCTTATAGTCCTCCACGTTGCCCATAGTTTCATGAAGGCATCAGACAACCGGGCATTTGGCTTTGTGACCTTCAGAGACCCGGTGGCTGCACAGCAGTTTGTCCAGTTGTCTCCGCACTGCGTCCCAGATGCGACCACCGAGATTATTGCTAAGTGGAGGCATGGACGCTTGGAGGTCAATTCATCAGCTGTATCGGGTGAGCTCTCTCTATCTTTCAGATTTCGGGAAATTCTGGAAATTCAAGGAAGGCGTAGGGCCCTACGAAGGCTTTGAGAAGTTATGTACTCGTCTGGACGTCGCTCAAAACTAGTAGTTCGGCAAAGACTTTGGCAGCGAGGACAAAAGAGTGGCCAAGGGCGTGGAAAAACATCTGCCGGTGATGATCTGCAGGGAGCCCTTCAGGCGATGAAGACTGATGATCATGATCCTGACGTGTCGTTGAAGACTCTGTTTGGCAGTTGTACAAGTTTTCTTGTTCAGCGGCTCAGAAGCCGGTGCTTGTTCAGGGTGCGTGTAGCCTGATCTGCCCGCAAATGGCCACCTCCCCCTAAAGTTAAATGCAAGCCCTCCCCCTAACAAGCCTGATATTTAATATCACATATTGTTCGCGGTGGCGGGGTAAGGGAGACATAACTAGATTGGCCTTGGCCGTTTCATAGGCCACTGATGAGGATGCACTATTCAAACTCATAGTGCTGCCAGCATCATTTGTTTTGGAGTTTGGCTCCTTCGGTAAGGACATACTTCGCACCCAGACAGACGAAGCAATCCTTGATTCGTATCCTGCATTTTCTTCTCAACAGCTTTTCCCTGTTAGTTTTCAGCCTTTCGCGAGGCGTTTCCCTGTTAGTTTTCAGCCTTTCGCGAGGCGTGAGTAAGGCTGACAGTTCGGGATTCGCAACAAATGGCTGGATTTCCCTTGTCCTTTTTACTGGTGGTTAGCAGGGAATAAGGGAATATATTACATAGGGATGATATGGCAAGTATATCCCCTATTCGACTTACCGCCAGTAAGTCTTAGTAGCCATTTCTGAAGGAATCTGTACACTGCTTACGGCATACTTTCTCAGCCTTCTCATCTTCATTCTTGCAGCCTGCCTGTTATGGGCCCATGCATCCCCCTAAAGCCCCGCGCCCTTTGATCCTATACCCTAATCCAGAAGCTCCACCCCAAAATCCTGCAAGCAAAAAGCAAAGGTATCCTGAAGTCGCAGGACGAGGCTTACCAAAAGAAGCTTGATGCGTCTGTGAAGAGCATCAGAGGACGGCTGCGACCAATCAGAAGGGGTCCTCAAGTCCTTCATTTTGTATATGATCCCCAGGGGAGTAGCATGTTAAATTCAATAGCCCCCCCATGGTATTTGGAGGTATTTACATGCAAAAGTATGTGTATATATATATATATTGTATACATATGTATACATATATATATACATATATACATGTATATATTTGCATCACAACCTTGAAAAGATCCTGCTGGGTGCTGCTCGTTTGAGCCGCGGCTTACCTCTCTTGATAGAGTACTTTCCCTAAACGATAAGGTTGTCTGTTGTAATTGGACAGGGTTCTCTGAATTCCTCAACTTTGTGGTGCGTACATGACAAAGGGCTTATAGGGTAGATCTCAGGTGAACCCCACCCTGTAATAGTGGTTCAACAGGAATTCAAGAGGATCCGAACATAATCACTAGTATCCCTTATTGGGTGGCGGGTTCACCTAAGGAAGATCTATCGTCATCCCACGCCTACATCCTCTTCCTTGTATTATTAATCTGTTGGAAGTCCTTTCGAGTTATTTTTAATCTGTTCATATGAGAACCCCATGAGGAACGTGCAATTTCAGTTCCAAATATTTTCCCACAAATTAACCAGATCCCTTGTCGAAGGAAAGGATGTTCCGAAAAAGAGCAAGCCAAAGCTGCATCTTTTCTTATCGGTCGTTATCAGGGAATGTAGGGACATAATCCCTTTATAGTCCCAACTTAATATATTCCCTACCTCCCGACTATAGACCCCCAAGCTGTCCCTATTATAGAACAGTAGTTTCCATTTTCTCTGCCATCATCCCTATAGTAACTATAGTATCCCTATGTACCCCCTTGTTCTCTAATCCCTTCTAACCCCCAGTGAGGCATCTTTTTCACGGCCCTCCAGCTACTGGAAAGACCCAGGCAATGAAGGTCATCGCCGCAGAAGCAGGTCTGAGTGGACGTTTTTTGAAAGTTTTTGGTTTAGGGTTTAGGGGTTTAGGGGTTAGGGTTAGGGTTAGGGTTCGAGGGTTCAAGTTTTAGGGATTTGTCGGGAATGTACTTTGGGTACTGCCCCCACTCTGTAACAGTTGGAAAGTATTTATAATATTTATACATTGCCTTTAATATCACTCCTCATGTAGAGTGCTACAGGGTGGGGGCGGGCAGTACCCAAAGTGTATTAGCAAGGGATTATGGGGCCAAGGTTGGGACCAACGGTAGTTTTATTTGGGTCCCCTAGACTACAAGCCCCAGAAGCCCTAAACCCTAAACCTACACGTTAGAGCCTACTTGAATGTTAGACTCCGCTAGCTGCAGTTTGCGGGTGTCGCTCAGGCCGTGGAATAATCATGCTCTTGAGGGTTTAGGGCTTAGGGTTTGGGGATTTAGGGCTCAGGGCTTAAGGGTTAGGTTTAGGGCTTGAGGGTTAGGGCTTGGGGTTTAGGGTTTAGGGCTTAAGGGGTAGGGTTAGGCTTAAGGGTTAGGGTTTAGGGTTTAGGGGTTAGGGTTTAGGGGTTTAGAGGTTTAGGGTTTAGGGCTTGGGGAAGCACGATGAAGGAGATGTTTGGGCCGATGCACCCCATAGCAAGTAATCTCCATGCGACAAGACATGACAAAACTCAGTATCAGTTGTACGGAGCCCTCTTTCGTAGTGTCCTTGTTGAATGCTCATTTTGTGTTGGATTGCCCGCTTCTACCTGCACAAAAAATACCCTTATTTTAGGAATCCCCTGACTATGGTGGCGTTCAGAGCTGGCTGTGCAGGTCTTCGGGCAATTAACTTGAAGCTGGGCGAGCCCGGATACGGTTCATTGAAAGAGTTGCAGGATGCCCTCAACCAGATTGATGAGCCCCTTGTCTGCTCGAGTGATTTCTTACAGTGCTCCATCTATGATCCACTACAATCCCTCTATATTAGCCAAGGGGGCCCCGCAGAGTGTCTAAACCTCTATGCCCCAGAAATCGCACAGGATGTCACGTGATCCCGATGGGGTCGGAGTGGCCGTCTTGATTGATGAAGCGGAGCAAGTGTTCCGCAGTCGGAGTGACATGAAGAGTACCAGCGTCAAAGCGGAGGCGCGACAGCGAAGCCCTGGGCAATGTAGAATATAGAAGTTAGTACTGGGTAGGCTACACGCCTGCATGATTGGCAATGTTCTTCCCCACCTGCGTAGCCTGTGCCACTGCGGTTGCTACGTGGTTAGAGACCTGCAGGTCATGAAAGGGAGAGCGATTGACGGTGCTTATGCTTTTAAAGCAGAAGGGAGCTTCTCAAAAATCACCCGATAGAATCCCAAATAAGGGCGTCCATAATTGCCTTATCATACATCTCTTGGGCCCTAGGGGTTCCTTTTTGAGAACCGCCCCCGAAGGCAATGAAGGAGGTTGTGCGGGCCTTCCTGGAGTGGACTGATGGTTTGCAGACCCGAAATCGTGATGCCAAGCCCATCGTGGTTGTCATTCGCCATCATTAAGAAACAAGGGACTGCAAAGGATTGTTTTTTAGATGGTTTCCTTCTGATGAAGCAGCGAAGATTGAAGCTTGTGATTGAGGTGATGGCTACCAACCTGCGGGACAGGATTGACGAAGCCATCCAAAGCCGTGTGGGCGAATCCGTTCAGTTTTCATATCCCACGTTCGCGCAGTGCAAGGAGCATTTCGCAGCAAATGCGTCGCTTGTCTCATAATTCTGCACAGCAACTGCTCCAGCCTCTCAACACTTGGCACTGTTCGCGCAGGTGCAGCAGTAAGTTATGTTGTCTAGGATCTTTTTCTGGAAGACCCTTGAAGGCGGGTTTCTTTGCAGAAGTGCGCTAAGGCCAATAGTTCAAAGGTGGCACTGGCAGCTGGCCATGGCCAGCCGTCTCCTCTTCATGGATTTTCGCGAACTGGAAGCAGTGCATGACCTTGTTTGTGAGCGAGATGCTGAGAAGCCCGACAATGGAACCGCGCCTGGTGACGTGGGACCACTTGCAGACTATCTTCCTGCGATTTGGTCCATATGGTGGCAGCGGAACCGGAAAGGGTCCAAGGAGTGGAGACTACTTGGCATTTTGAAGCTGATCACATGGCAACTCCCGTTCTTCTCGTGGCAGCTGCGTGTCGTGAGCAGGGAAATGCGCAACGGAGTGCGGGACACACAGCACTTTCGCCTCGGGCTGATGCAGTTCTTCCGCGGTATGCTGCAACGCATGCAAGGGCCACTTCTGCGCGCCAGACTGTAGGTGTGACGCCATCAGTTCTGCTATCACCACCTCCAGAGTCATTGTAGACCACCAACGCGAGTCACAAGCAAAGTAGTGAAGCAGCCGGAACGGCACTGCTGACCACTATGTTGCTGATGTTGAGGAGCGTATAGGGGTTACATAGGGGTTATATGGGGATAATGGAGAAGAAAATGCATAAAATTTTTACATTATTCAGGATGGTGATAGTGATACGTCTCGCTTCTTGGCTTGGATGAGCTCCCATACTTCCAAGGGCGGGAAAAGTCCGCGGCGTCTCTTTGACCTTGACACATGGCTAGTTCCCAAAACTATTTTCGTTAGGCGTACTAGAATCTATAGCCAAAAGGGGCCCATAATCGCGAGAACAACCCACATGCTCAAAGGGCATCTCAGATTATCAGCCGCGTTCCGAACATGACTGAGCCCAGGTGGCGGGCCCTTGCCCTCTTCAGCATGCGCCCGCCTCGGACGAGTTATTTCTTTCGTACTTTTGGATGGTGCTAGGGTTGAGGTGAAGTGTTCAGGGCAGACGAATAAGAAACTGAGATGATATCTTACCAGGGGGATTTCACTATTAGGGATACGGTAGTGTAGGGATGCGTTGTTGCGGCAGAGAATTCCCCCATCGTTCCTAGACGAGCTGCTCAGCTGCGAGTTAGGATTCCCAACTGGGCCTGAGCCAGCGGTTTCGACAAACTGCCATATTTGAGTTTTCGATGGTTAACTTCAGAAGATAAAGCCCCGAGCCCCTAAAATCCCTAAGAAAAGATTTCATCCCACAACTTTGGCGCCAGGTTTGTTGCCTTTATGCGGGTGCGGGTTTAGGGTAATTGGGGTTGTATAGGAATAATGGAGAATCAAATGGAGCAATGGAAAATTACATGGACGCTGGGATGATATGAGTGTGGATGAAGTTCAAACAGGGGTACCTGGAGACACCTAGGGGTTATATCGAGGCAATAAGGAACCTTGGTTTAGGGTTTAGGGTTAAGGGTTTAGGGTTTAGGGTTTAGGGTGAAGGAGAAACTAGGGCCCAGTATTTTTTTGAGGAACTTTCATCTTGTTTGTCCATTTTCTTGGGCTTCCTCAGGCGTTTTTGCGTAGTCAGAATCTACGCACCTCCATGCTGGCTTACCAAGGCAACGGTGGATGGAGGAAATCTTGCACCACTTAGGATCTCCAAAAGAGTATATAAGGTGGTGCAAGAGATTCTCCACCCACAGAGGAATTGACAACAACTCTTTGAGCGGCCTGGTCCTGGCAAGCTGTTTGGAGATTTCTTTGCGTATTTGTTGTAGAAGTCGCAAATGCCATCATCAGACTTTCAGCTGCTACCTGATGAAGTTGAGGCCGTAGCACCTTTGCTGAGGAATTTAGGGGTTTGGGGTTTAGGTTTCAGGTATGAAAATAATGCACGTGTTTGCTTCAGTTCTGACCAGCTTTCCAATCAAAAGCAGGAACATGCCGAGGTAAGCATGTCTCGACGCTTGTAAGCTTGGGAAGATATGCCGATTCTGATGAACAGCCGCCTGAAAATAAGCCCGGAGCAACAATGCACAATGTCCTTATGATACGGAATCTCAGAGGGGACCCATGATATTCGGAACCTTGTACTTAGCAAGTAGGTTGATCTTGCGGTTCTGGGGAGGCAGACCCGTCTTTGCCACCCTTTGCATGGCAAACTCAATGGCAATTGCCCAGAAATTTCAGGACGGAAAGCCCTACAGAGAATCTGTGCAGATTGAGCCCTAAATCATAAAATGGGTTGCGTTTAAGGAGCTTAAAGCAAGGTGCAATACTCTGGGCATATGGTAAAGAATATGATCTCTTCACAACAGAAACCTAACCAAAGTTCCTTGACAGCAAATAGTCAAGAGCTTAAACCCTTAACCCTAAGCACCAGGTTCACCCCCCACTCCATCCGAGTGGCCTTGCTCTTCATGAAGCTTGTAAGCGCCGCTGCCGCCAACGCTGTGTCCCTAAGGTTGCACTTGCAGAGTCGGGGTAATGTAGAGGCTTGCATAATTGCCAGTTCTCTTCTAGCCCTCACATAGCTATAGTGTACTACGCACCAAAACCATCTTCCTACAAAAAAGGCCTATTTATACTTGTACCTATCACTCCCTAAGTGAACGTCCCTGCAGTTAGCATGATTTTCTAATTGTTTGCCCACAGTCCCCAGTTACGGGGAGGGAGCCCAGATAATAAGAGTTCTTGATTTTTGGCATTATATTCCAGGTGTCCCCATTTAGAAGCTGTTAGTGTGTTTTGGCATACAAGTGGGACTCCTGGCTTGAAAGTATCGTGTGAGTATCAAGGTGGGCTTGTGACTGTTTCTTTATAGGCAGCCCTGATTGCTATCCCTGTGGCTACTATGATATGAACCTCTGCAGGGTACGAGCCCAGCAAAGTCAGGGCCTTCTTTAGGGTTTAGGTTTTTAGGGACCTTACACCAAACAGATCTTTGGGGACTATTAGGGTGTATGGCCCGTGGCTGTCCTATGAATTGGGAGCTTGACCAGGAAGCAATGCTTGACTTACAGGCTTCTCCAACCAGGTCTGCAGGTTTTGAGCATCACGTGCTGTTTCCTTGCCGCCGGAGTGGGTTTTCCACTCTGAGGCACAGGTTTTCTTGTTTGAAGTCAGAAGGTCCCAGAAGGGAGGAAGATAGCTTTCAAGAAGTTCATATTGCATCAGCCTTTATTGTCCATGCTTCGATGATGCTTTGGGTTGGGTCCCCACCCGCAAAAAGTGGTATAAAAGGAATATCTAGAAGCCCGAATATTGATTTCCATTTTTCCATTATCTCTTGTGGTCACTGTCAGTGAGTTGGGGCCCAACCCAAATTGTGCTGGTCTGCTCTGCTACTAGAAGGAGGATGACTGCTCGTCGAAGCTCTGCACCCTACACCCTTGCCTGGGTTGCTGTTAAGGAACTTCATTCGAGTTACCATAATAAGGGTATACAGTATATCACAGGGTTTCCTTATTGTAGTAATTTAAAAAGGTTCCTTACCAGCAACCCAGTTTCGCATGCAACCCTTTCCCAACACCTCCCGATTAGGTTTTTCCGCACTACCGCGCAGCCGGCTGATGCTGACCCACGGTGTTCCAAGCCTCAGGACTGCATGGATGACCGTAAGAATCATGGGACCCATTTCAGGTTCCCGTAGAAGGGATCGTTTTATTTTGCGGGGCGGGTGACGCTTCATTGTTCAACAAATCCGGCAAGGGCTAAAGCCGAGGGTTTGGGAAAGATGTTGGAGCAGGTTGATCCTCAAACACAAACATCCCCTGTCATCCTGTAATTTGTATACAGCTCCTCTAATCTTGGTAGTTGCTAGCAAGGAGGGTTGTTCTCAAAATTAGGGGTAATAAAATGGGACCCTAATTTTGGGAACTACCCTAAACCCTAAACACTAAGAATGGATCCTGTAGCAGGCTCCCTAGGACTTTCCGTTATCCTTTCCATTCCTCCATGCGACCCCGACGCGCATCAAATCATCCCTCAAAGTTGCCTTTATTATTACTATTACCATTATTATTACTACTATCACTATAATTACTATTCTGATTGCTATAGTTATTCTTCCTTCTATGATTAGTTTTAGTACTAGTATTCTTATTGTTATTGCTAGTATGGTTCTTACGATTATTATGATTATCATTATTCATATTATATCTCGAAGGACCTGCTCTCGCGCATCGTGCAGGCATTCACAGTTGGGGTGGTCACGGCCGTGATGCTGGGGGAGGTTTCGTACACCAGTTTTCTTCATTGTTCACAATACACCTCCATGTACAAGTGTCCAAGGATATTTTGCTGATAGTAATCTCGAGCAGCACCTGTGTGCCTTCTTCCACCCCTTCAAACACCCATTCTCAACCGCGACCTAACCCTATACCCTAAACCCTTAACCTTAAACCCAAAAGCCAGTTCTTCTTCGTGTTCAACGAAGACTCGAAGCCCAGCCTAGGATGGGTGATGTGCTGATTGCGCTGCTCCTAATCCTTCAGAGGCACACCCCTCAGTTGTTTTCATGTGAGCTGTAGTCTAAACTCCTCAAAGGGGGGTTGTATGGGGGGATGATATACGGTTTTAGGTTTAGGATTTAGGGTCTGTAATCTAAACTCCTTAAGGGCGTTACTTAGTGGATTATGTAGGGGAGCATTATAGGGGTTATTAAGGGGGATACTAGGAGTTTAGACAATGGCTCATGTTGCCGAAGGAGGAAATCGGGAGTGGATCGGCAGTAAGAGTTCTCATATACCTCCTGAATAGTCCCTATGTTCAAGCTGCCATTTCAGCAGCAGTAATTAAGTTGTTTGGGGTTTATGCTGCCTATTGCTTAGGGGCCATGCTTAAAACCATGGGCCCCCAGTATGGGCCCTTAACGCTGGGAGCCTTATATACCTACTATACCCTACATGCACCCTTTCTGGTCCCTAGAATCCCCCTAAAAGGATTAAAGCCCCATATCCGGGGCCCATACTTCTAACCTTAGATTCGGATGTTGAGGTGCACAAACGACTCTGAGTCTTAGGCATCGAGACGGCAGTTTCATGTGGGAGTCTTTTCATTTTTTGCGAATGCTAAGTAGGAATCCCATGAACCCCTAGCAGTCCCCAAAAACGGTATCCCTATGCCCATTATGCCCATAAACTCTGAACCCTAAACCCTAAAATCGAGAACGCCCCATCTAGTTTTCTGTTAAGGAGTTAAGTTACTACAATAAGGAAACCCAAGTATTCACCATATACCCATGTATACCCATATGTACCCATAATATGGTAGTTGAAGTTCCTTAAGCTCAAGCCAGCCATGTGAGCCTCAGATCCTTTTGGTTTCAGGCGCTCCGTGGTGGAGAGGGACGAGTGGACACCCGCCCGTGTTGCTCGCCAACGGAATTGGTGGTTCTGCAGGAGGCCGGCTGCCATGGTACCCTAAACCAGGGTTTAGGGTTTAGGACCCTAAACCCTAAACCCTACATGGGAGGATTTGGAAAGCACCAGAGGTTTAGGGTTTAGGACCCTAAATCCTACACCCTACATGGGAGGATTTATGCAGCAGTAAAGGTTTGGGGTTTAGGGTTTAGGAGCCTAAACCCTAAACCCTACATGGAGGGATTTACAAAGCCCTCAAGGGTCTTGGGTTTAGGGTTTAGGACCCTAAGCCCTAAACCCTAGATGGGAGGATTTGGAGATTGGGGTGTTGGGATGAGGCTTCAGGGCAGAGTGGATTCAGAACTCTAAGCCCTAAGCCCGAGGCCCGAACCCTGTAGGGTTTTGGGTTCAAGCAGTGGGGTTGCAGCTAAGGTTCATGATTTGGGATGCTGTATAGCCAGCGTACTCGTTGGCATCACAAGTTTTTTTTTTTTTTTTTGTTTTAATGGATTTGTTCCGGAATTGCACATGAGCAGTATTCTAAACTCCTTTAAGGGGCTTATACAAGGGTTTGTATCGCAGACTACTCAGGGGATATTAGGAGTTAGACGATGGCTCATATGGCTTTGTTTGAGAGAGCTCCCACGCGAATCTCGGCGCGCTTCGGTGCTTTATTTGAAACGTGCAGGGTCATCCGTATGACTTCGTTCGCGCCACGTTTCTCAAATTTCTCCTCATACAGCCCACAGGGGCACCACTATGATCCCCTTGTCACTTTAGATACCTTGGGTCCTGACAGGCCCCTTTTAAAAAATCCTCATATTGAGCAACTCTATTGGATTGCTGTCAAGAAATTTTGTAAGATACTGTAAAAAGGCAGCCCCATTATTTATTATTTGCCAGAAACCCAGAATATGGGAACTTGATTTAAGTGCCTTAACAGCAACCCAGTCTACTATTGATGCCAGGTGCTTCTTTTGGGCGATCTGGGTACCGCATGCTTGCATCTGCATCCTCTATGTGTGCCTGGTCATGCAAATATGATGGGTCCCTGGTTGGGTCCCTTTGATCAGGAGTTCGGGTTTAGGGTTAAATTTTGAGGATTTGGGGGTTAAGGTTTGGATTTTAGGGTTTAAGGGGGAGGTTTGAAGGGGGAAGCAAATACCTGCCTGTCTCCTCAAGAGCACAAGGTTAATCCTCACCTGAGCTTCTGTGCATATTAGGGTTACGAAGGGCCCATTAAGGATGGACATAGAGGTCTCTTTTGTAGTTTAGCATAATCCTTAGTATACTCTCAAATGTGGAACCCATGTCCATTGCGTACAGAAAGGAATATGGACTGTAGCTCACCTACATGCAATCAGCCGGAGCCCTGAACAAATTGCCCCAAAAGAGAGAAAAGTCATACAAGCCAAAGCCTTAAACCATGCGACACGATTAAGGGTTTAGGTTGTTGTTGGGGCTTTGCCTTGTTGGGCTTCTATTGACATGTTTTCTGGTCTCACGTCTTCATTGGTTCAGGGCGTCGGCGCTGGGTTTAGGGGAGCCCTCTGACTTGCATGTAGAACTTTCATACGAGGCACTTGATTGTCTATGAAAGTTGAGAAAAGCGGGAAGCACCCTAGTGAAGCAATGTAGCTTGAATACTTTCCAGCACTGTTCCTCCATAACGCTGCTATAACTATAGTACATCATCCAAAGCCTGACTGTGATTAAATAAGACTCCTACATTGCCCAGCATTGTGAGCAGGCCATCGTGATCTCGTAGGCGTTGAAGGGTTGCTACCCTGGCGCTAGACAGGCTTCTAAGTTTTATCGTGAATTGTCCTGCAAGTCTTCTGAAGATAGGTGTTTCCTTATCCCCAAACCCTCAAACCAGGAGCCTGAATCCGATGTAAAATTTGAGCCCAAAGCCCTGACCTGGGTGTTTTTCTGACTATTCCCCGTAGCCGTGAAACCTAGCCTGCTGACCCTGTACACTCTACACCCAGTAGGCCTTACGCTTCAAGACCCCAGAAAGGTAAACATGCCCAACATTTTCTGCACGCCTCGGCCACCCTTAACCAAGCGACCCGAAAACAGAAACCAGGATAATTGTTTACATTTTTTTGCTAGGCTTTAGGGTTACTGCTTTACTGCTCATGCGTCGGTGTATACACACATGTCTAACTCCACTCAAGTAATTTTGTGGTTCTGACCCACAAGCTTCAAACCGTAAACCCCAAAACCCCAAACCCGAATCCCTAAATCCCACATCCTGAACCTGTCCCCGAATCCTGCACTCTGCAGCGTAAACCGCTGATCCTAAACAAACTTCAAGTCCCAAGATTGCTAGTTATAAGTGGCGTGAAAGGTGCTTTAAATTAGCTTATTGCTGTAGTGACTTTACTTATCACTTATCACCCAATTATGGCTCATGGGTGGTAGCCGTCAAACAAAGCCAAGAAACGTAACCAAGTCTCCTAAACCCAAAAAACACGCCGCAACTCTAAGCCCCAAATCCTAAACCCTAATCCCTAACACCCTAAAACCCTAAAACCCTAAAACCCTAAAACCCTAAGACCCTAAAACCCTAAGACCCTAAAACTCCGAAGCCTAAGCTTTCAAAGGCTTGTCTTCTTAGCCAATGTGAGCCGACGGGATGCTCAGAAGTGGCTTGAGAGCACTGCCATGAGCCTCCTGCAGGAGCCCTGCGTTCTATGGGGCTATATTGGGTAGTAGTTTAGGGTTTAGGGTTTAGGGGTTTAGGGTTTAGGGTTTAGGGATAAATTTCCAGAAGCTGGAAACTACTACAACATGTTGGGGGAATATTGGGTTAAGGGATAATGGAAAAGAAAATGGAAACTACAAGGGGTATATAGAGGTTATATGGGGTTATATAGGGATCATGGAAAAGAAAATGGAAACTACTAGGGTTATATAGGGTTATATAGGGGTTATGAGGAATATTTGGGTGTTATTGGGATAATGGAAAAGAAAATAGAAACTACTATAGTATATTGCGGTTATATGGGGTTGTATAGGGATGATGGACAAGGAAATGGAAACTGCTATAATATATTTTCGGGTTATATGGGGTTATGTAGGGATAATGGAAAACAAAATGGAAACTACTATGTATTGAGGGCGTAGGGTTTAGGTTTGAGGGCTTAGGGTTTAGAATGTGGGGTTGAGGGCTTAGGGTTTGGGGTGAGGGCGTAGGGTTTAGGGTTGAGGGCTTAGGGTTCAGGGTTTAGGGCTTAGCGTTTAGGATTTAGTTGAGGGTCCAGGGTTCCTGTAAAAGTTGTATGGAGTTACAGAGCTAGAGAGGGTGTAGGTCTAGGATTTAGAGCTTAGGGTTTTGGGGCCTGAGGCTTAGGAGTAAGGTAGAGCCTGCGGCTCAGGGCTTCCGATTTAAGGGCTTGGGGATTAGGGTTAGGATTTAGGCTGCAGCTTGGGACTTTGGGGGTTGGGGTCTGATTTGGGCTGCAGGGTCTAGGGTTCAGGGTTGAGAGCCTAGGGGATAAGGGTTGAAGTGACTGGCGTCCAAGGACGTTTCTGCATGTAATGTATACCGTCTTATTGATTGCGAGCGGAACGATGTGTGTGCTAATGCTGTCTTGTCATTTTTCTTGTGCATGAATGTCATAGCTTACCAACAAAATCTGGTCTAATCGTTTGGCGCATGATTTCGGCCCTTATATCATGGTGTTTTCAAGGGATCTTTCAATGCAGGGCTTCTTCCAGGTCTCATGGAGTTGCTCGGATGGTTTGGAGTTCACAGAGTTGTTTTTAAGCTGTGGTTTGGCGGGTTTGCGACTTGAGGTTGCAGGAAGACAACAGGCAATGGGTTGCAGGCTTTATTGCGAGAGCATGACTAGGAAGTTTCTGGGTAAGATCCAGAGGTTTTGTTTTCTGTTGTCGGGTAGCAGGGAGATGATGGTTTCCGGGCTTACCAGTTGGCTGGATTAAGGGTTTTTTGTAGGCTCATAAAACAAGGGCTGCTGCAAGGTGTGCCGTTTCAGATGTCATGTTCGCGGGAGGGCAGGTCTGGGAACACCCCCAAACCCTAAGCCTGTTAGTGGGAGGGTAGGCCCGCGAACAAAACCCTGAACCCTAAACCCTAAACACTAAACCTGATACAGTGATCCCTTCCACAATCAACCAATGCCCGCAGAATCTGAAGCCTTGAGCCCTCAAGCTTGGTCCAGGTTCTTTTGACTTATGCAGGGTTTGGGGTTTGGGGTTTAGCGGTATCGAAGAATTGCGGTCTTTGTTTTGGGGGCTAACATAACCAGAGGTGCAGTACTTGGGGTACTTTAGAGGGACTGCCATCTCTGGAAATACTCATATCATCATCGCCGTCACTCATAGCGCTGTATGGGTATAATTTCTGTTTGAGTCTAATTGTAATCATATGAGGCCTCAATACTAAGGGCACTTAGGGGACATGTATTTATCTAAGGAAATTTCGGCTGGCCCTTATATAGGTAAGGATACCCACCTGGTAACCCCCCCCCCTCCCCCCGAAACTCCCTCTTTTTCCCTCGCAGCGAACTGGGGTCTACATGTGTTAGGCCTTAGTAATGAGGCGGTGTGTACGTACCATAGTTTCGGATAAAACTTTATCAATCCGACATGGGAACTGCATGCCCCACCTGTGACCTTGAGCATAAATCCTATCGTTAAATGCGCTGCAAGAGACGGCATCATGCAAGGGACTAATACATGATATGAAGTTGACTTCTTCTTCCAATGACTCCACCAGACGCTAAACCCTAAACCCTGAACTCCCCAAACTCCCTAAACCCTAAACCCCCTTCCTATGAGCCATCTAAGAAAGCTGCATAGTATGCATCGATGCGCTGTTCCGCGGGAGTGGTCAAAGGGAAAACCCTGGCTCCCAAGGCAGACTCGAAGATTTCAAACTTTTTGTCAAGCGGGGTTGCTGTTAAGGACCTCAAATTAAGTTGTCACATTTCCTTGTTATGGTAATTTAACTTAGGTTCCTTAACAGCAACCCAGTGAAGGTGAGAAACTGTTCCAAACTCCTCGGAGTTTTCTGTAGGAAGATTCAGTGTGACTTGCCCTCTGACTAGAAGCAGCTGGGGGGTTCCCACAATTAGGGGTACCCTTAGAGGGATTATAGGGATTATATAGGGGAAATGTAGGGTTTAGCGTTTAGGGATTAGGGTTTAGGGTTTCCCAAAATTAGGGGTACCTTTTTGGGGGTCCGCAGTCAGCCCGCATGACCCCAGCAAAAACCGCCTCAAGCCTCGACTTGGAACTTGATGTAAAGCCTAGACTAGATCATCTTGAACCCCAAACCTTAAACCATGGATACCAATGTATAGCCCCCATAGCCCGAAGCCTTAAGCCTTAAACTCTGAACCCTATGTGTATATATATATATACACAGCCATATATGCCCAGAAAGAACTCTAGATCCTGGCATATCCCTATATATGCCTACATTTTCCTATACATTCCTCCTCAGTGGCTACAGCCCTAAACCCTAAACCCTAAGCCCTAAACCCTACATTTCCTTACATATTCCTTCATAGTGGCTATAGTCTTAAACCCACAGCCCTAAACCCTAAGCCTTAAACCTTGCAAAGGACGTTATCTTAAAGCCCCTATCCATTGCAGCGCTCCTGGGGATCTTGGCAAGCTTGGCCTTGGCGTGTATGCCTCAGGTACAGGACAAGGCCAGGTTTGGGGTTGGTTTAGGGTTTAGGGCCCAAGGTACAGGACAAGGCCATAGGGTTTCGGGTTTAGGGTTGAGGGTTTAAGGCGGGAGAATTTGTTGTTTAGGATTTGGGGCTTAGGGCTTAGGGTGCTAAACCCTTAGCCCGAAACCGTTACTGGTTCTTCGGGGCCTCTATCTTCCAATATCATTTTTTTCCTGTCATCAGTATTATGTTTGCCATGTGCATTTTCATCATTTATATTCCTATTACCAGTAGGACGACGACAAGGCCTTCTGTAGGGTGTAGGGTGTAGGGAGATGTAGGCTTTAGGCCTCAGGGGTTGGATTTCAGGTTTTAGTTTGTATAGGGTGACATGTAGGGGTTTAAGGTTTTCGGGGTGATGCCCTTGCAAAAGGGAAAGGTTGGGCTTGGGATGTACACAACTCGCAGAATTGTAGGCGCGTGTTGTCCAAGATGGCGGGTCCCATGTGATTCCCAGCATGACCTCGACACGTGCACTCATGCCTGAAACCTGTAAAGCCTCAAAGCCCTTACACCTCAAAACCCTCAATCCAGAAACCCATACCCCCTCAAAGCCACAAAGCCCCAAAACCCCAAAACCCTCAAGCCTCGGAATCCTAGCCATTCAAAGTTAAAGCTGATGTTAGTAGGGACCCGAAGCCCCGCACCATGTGAAAGGTGCGGACCCAGTGGCTCCACGATGACGAGCAGGAGGTGCCCCAGCAGGCCACCGCCTGAGCATAAAGCTTCCCAGGGAGCCGAACTCCCTTCAATTCATGATTAGTCTTTTAAACTCATATTAGGGGTCTCTTGTGTCATTTAAGGGATACCCTTCTCCCCCGAAAAATGAATGGGTTTTTGAATGACACACTAGAGATGCTTGTATCATTTAAGGTGTATACTTTCATCAAGGTGTATGTTGGGCTTTCACAGTTGATTGGAGTTGACTGAGTTTGCTGGGAGGTTCAGCTGTGGTTGCATTTTTTTTTGGCATGGTATTTTCCTAAACCCCAGACCCTAAACGCTACACCCCAAAGCCTAAACCCTAGTCCCTAAACCCTAATCCCTAAACCGTATAGAATCCCCTATAAACCTCCCTTTAAGGAGTTTAGACTATAGCCCTTAGATCGCTATACAACCCTATATAAACCCTGTACAACCCTATACAAAACCTATATATCCCTATATAAACCCTACATAAACCTTATATGGGTCTACCCTAAACCGGTTCTCTGGTCTGGCCAGCAGATGAGCAAGCGATCAAGCAAGGTAGGAATCGGCAGAACCTGTTGCAGCGACATAGCGTCTAGGGTTTAGGGTTTAGGGCGTGTAGGGTTTAGTGGGTTTAGGGTTTAGGGAGTTTAGGGTTTAGGGTTTGGGGTTTAGGGCAAGCAAGCCCAAGCAAGCAAGCAAGCAGACATGCACTAATCGCAGCATTGTCACTTTCTGCAGCTAATGTGTTTAAGAATACACGGAGCCTCTTCCAATCGAAGCCAATTCCAAATACTGTTTCATGCAGTCTCTGAAATATTTCATCAAGACTGAAGGTTGCAGCTTCGCCCATGTTCTGCAAACGGAAGAGCCGTGTCCATCCCAGCAAAGCACGCGCGTCAAGCCTTATCAAAGCATAGAGGATGGTACCTGTTGCCATCTTCAACCATGTGATTTCAAGCCTACTGCTTTACACCGTCAAGCAGCTTGGGAGGGGAATCCTAAAGCGTAGACCCGAAGCTCTAAACCCTGAATTCTTTAACCTAAACTCCCTAAACCCTAAACCCTAAACTCTAAATCCTACACCCTAAACCCTAAACTCTAAACCCTCAACCCTAACCCTGCGGCTATGCAGGAGGCCCCGCAAGACACCAAGCCCATGGTCAACAGACAGACCAGCGCGGAGAGCGATTCTCCTGAGGATGCTATCGAGGCCGCTGAAGGTCAAAGGTAATAATGGTAATAATAGTCCTAGTAGTAATACTAGTAATAATAGTAATAATCGTAATAATAGTAATAATGGTAATAAGAGTGATAATAGTTAGTCATACTAGTGATAATATTAAGAAGGGTAATGTAATTAGCCCCTCCCCTTACAAGGGATGATAATAGGGATCCTAATATTCCGGCCCTTAAAAGGAGGGGGATCGCGGGTCTACATTCAGGGTATGGGATTCGGGTTTGCGGGTCGGTGTTTAGGTATAGGGTTTAGGGTTTTGGAGTTTAGGGTCTGGAGTTGGGGGTGAAGGTCTGAGGGGCTTAGGGTTTAGGTTTTAAGGTGTTTTAAGATTTGGGATTTGAAGACTTGGGCTTTCAGGCCTCAAGCCTTTTTTTGGGCCGGGGTTCAAATGTTTTGTCTCCAGGGTTGGGGCGTTTGGTTTCGAGGTTCCGGGTTGGGAGTTTTAGTCCTTCATTGGAATATCAACTACAACAGACATGTCATCACTGAGGTGGAACAGGGTCTTCACGGGGTTGAGCAAGTCTTCACAAGCCCAAAAGTGCTTTGAACGTGTTGTTAGGAGTGATGCTTTTGGCTTTGCCGGTTGTTCCCTTAAAGCAACCTATACCCCCCCAAATCCCAAAGCCCAAAGCCATAGCCCAGAATCCTAATTGAACCCGATCCCTTTAACCGACTGCGCTCAACACAGGTTCGATCCGTCAACAGTCACTTGTTCAGCCAATAGAAGAACTTTTAACTTTTTGGGCTTCCTTACCCTAAACCCTAAACCCTAAACCCCCTAAACCCTTTTTTTTGGGCCTGGTCATTGGGGAAGAGAGGTCATGATCACCGGGCGACCGACTTTGCTTCTGTCCTGCCAGGTGCACCGCAGCACTAGACCGAGGAACGGCATAGAACTTCCTAGTATTTCAAACTGGCTCAGTGCTATTGTGGCTTTACAAGTCTCCTGCGGGGTCGCCTAGGGTTTCAGATGGGGAGGATCATGCACAAGAACCTGGGTAGGCCCCAGGGACATTTGATATTTTCCCTAATGGCTTTAATAGGGGACCATATATACTAATATTTTTCAATGGGTTTAAGGGCCTACCTAGGAACAAGACGTCAGAAGAAGCTTTCGGCTAGGTGTGTTCTACAGTAGAGCAGCAACTTTTTGACTCACACTCACTCCTGTGCCGGGCTCTGGTTGAGCTTCGTGAAGCCCTTAACCCTGAAGCCTACTGCGTGTGGTACTTAACTGCAGGAATTCGAAATGCAGCTGAGAACAAAAGCCGATATTCCAAGGTCTGCTGGCAGAATAACAGGAACGCACAACGCTTAAAAGTCCATCAGGCATGGAGTTTGAACAGTTGCTTGTGATCCTGCGTGGTTTTTATTCCGAGGTCAAAATAGACGGCCCCTGGGGACCATAGGGATCTGTATCAATATGTTTGTATATAGGGATCCAAGAGCCACTATCTGTGTCCCCTATTGCGTAGAGGTAATGTTGAGAAACTGCCATATGAGCTCACAACATGCCCTCATATGACTCATATGTACTATAGTCTAGACTCCTTAAAGGGGATGATCTAGGGGATTCTATAGGGGACTATTATAGGGGTTATTACGGGGGCTACTAGGAGTTCAGACTATGGTTCATATAGGCGGGAGAGAGAGAACCTTTCACTACGACCTCTTGCCGGTTCCTGTATAGCTCGTTCTAAATTTTTAGTTCATCCCACTAGCGACCCCGGTTGCACATGCGCTTTCTAGTACTTCCTAGTAGCCAAGTAGCGGCAGCAGTTCAAACTCCGGCGCTCTGTTCGGTGAATCGTCAGCCCGCACGCACGCCAGCGCTGGCGACAAGGAGTTTCCAAGAGCCAGGTGGTCTCGTTAGAAGGGCTCCGCCCTTACATGGTGAGCCCCAGAACATGGTATACTTTTGAGGCCTCCTGACTTTTTGGAATAGATGAAATACATGAAATCTCAAAGAGATGTGTTGAGAAGCATAAGGACGACATGGGAACAGTCTGCCGCTTATATAGGCATCTTCCCCATCCTATACGGAGATTATGCAGGCGATGTGTATCCTGCCCTTGTTTTTCAGCCACGCAGATCCCCAAGGGACTTGCCCTGCGGTGGTAAACGGGGTGGGCGACTGCGAGCTTGTGATACTTTATGTGTGCCTGTCTGTGGTTCGGCATAGCTGGAGGGTTTCCAGCGTAGGAGTTTTTCTGTCTAATCCTTACATACGGATTACTAGGGCTCCTCTTTTTTCTTGAAGCCTCACATATACCCTGAGGTCCCTCAGGGTCCCAGATCAGTTTCGCACAGCTTGCTAGATTCTGCTAGATTTCAGCTCAGCTCAGTCGCAGAAGGCCCCCTGCAGGTAAGGACCGGGGTGGGCGTCCGGTGCGTCAAGCACTTTTGAGGTTGGATGTGCCCGCACCAGTTGAACCATAGTCTAAACTCCTAGTATCTCCCTTAAGAACCCGTATAATACTTCCCTATATAAACCCCTATATAATCCCCTTTAAGAAGTTCAGACTATATCCCAAATGGAGTAGGTGTTTAGTTACGGGCTTTGGGGAATGCACATTTGGTTCCTCAGGAATGTTGGTGAGTGGATATGTTTCTATATACACACACATATATATGTATATGTATGTATTTCATGTCCAGTTCAGGGGAGCATACAGTCAAATACTGCTGTATATTGAGGGGGTTTGTCCAGATTAGATTTTTGGGTACTCAAAATTTTGGGACCACACTTTCGACAACTCTCCGCATAAGAGTCCCATGAATATTGTACTTTAATGAGGGTCATGTACATGGTCGTCATCGGGCGGAACAATATCCAAGCTCAAGGCACTTTGGGAGGGACCCTTTATAAGGGACCCTGAGGGTTCTAGGGGTCCTGACACTGTCAACCCCAACAGGGATCCCTCCCAAAACCTAGAAAGCAGGCTCCATCTCTGGCATGGCCGCACTCTGCCTCAGGCAAGGGCGTGCTAGCAGGGAGCCGTGTGCAGTCTCAACATGTCTCAACAATGCAGCCGAACTCCCTGTAGCTTGGAAAAATGAACTGGAAACTTGAGGTTTATAGGAAGCTATAAACATGGGGATATAATGGTGCTTTCATCTGTTCATTGTCTCGCTGGTTGTTACTGTGGAAGAAGGAATGGAGAAGAAAATGGAAGCTGCTGTCATTTGGGTGGTATAGACAGGCTATATGGTAGTTTCCCTGATAAGGGGACCCCAGTATAGACCCCAATATACTATAATCCTTATTATGGGGACCACTAAAATGGTACCCCTAATTTTTGGGAAACCTCCATATTGTAGGCATGCATATTCCCTACTCACAACCAGGCAGATCCTGTCACTATGGTTGGGGTTGCAGGGCTTTAGGCTTTCAGCTGGGCTCAGCGTAGCCTGAGGGTTCAGGTGGTACTAGGTACAAAGTCAGTTGAGTATTATTTTATTTGGGGATACTATGGTACCCAGTATAGAGCAAGATTATATCCTCCTTTTGGGGTATAGTATTTTATATCAGAAATATAATCTTACTAGGTTCAACCACCAAAAAACACTACTTAGTTGGACTATTGATGTGGGTATCTAGCACCGCAGTGCTGGTTGTTTGGATCATTGAAGATCAACCCCCTCATTGTGTAATAGTGCCAGTGCCACATAGACAGAATCCCCAAACCCTAAGCCTTAGACCCTAAATCCTAAACCCTAAATCCTAAACCCTAAGCCTTCAACCATAAGTCCTAACCCGTAAATCCTAAACTGT